AAGGAGACACCTGGACAGGGACTTGAACCCTGGACCCTCAGATTAAAAGTCTGATGCTTTTCCATCTGAGCTTACCAGGCAACAAGACTCACGTCTTTGTCCTCTGGGCTACATATTGTCTTTCTTTTCTGTAAAAACGTGATCTCTTATACTCTCATTTTACTGTAAGTACTGGTGAGGATTTGCAGTTAGATATTATTAAATGGTCATTTCAGACAAGAGCCAAGGGAAGGATTTGATTCTAGGGGAAACATCGCTAGGCTGTATTATGACGTGTGATCACCCAACCTACCAAGCCCTAGGTAAGCCAATGGTATTATGGGCGAGGCCTGGGAGCTTCTGGAGGAGGACCTTCTTCAAATTCCACCTCCACTTGATGAACAAGAAAAAGGAGTTAGAGGAGGCGCAGGGGCAGCTGCTGAAACTGCAACTGGTGGAGGCCAAAAACAAAGTAAATGAAAAGAAAAAAGAAAGTAAGGAGGGAGCTAAGAAAATGCTGGTGGCAAAGCCTCAGGGCGATCCTGGGCCTGACTGGCCAGATCTGAACCCAAATCTGTATCCCGATGACCGATGGCCCGCCAATGGACCAAGGCAAGGACGACCCGCAGGGAATTGGGGGGCCGGAATATCGCAGAGAGGGCGTGGTGGATACGGAAGGGGAGAACCAAGGGGTCGTGGTCTGGGGAGGACCTATGCTGGACCCAAACGTGTGTTACAAGTGTGGAGAACAAGGACACTGGGCTCAACAGTGTCGTAAAGTGATACAACAAAGAGCAATATTATCCAACCCAGGCACGTGGAGCCCAAAGAATGGGATATCAAGCTCCAAACCCAGGCATGGCGCTGGTGGCTCAGTATCCCGTGGCCGACTGGGGCTGGGGGCAGGAGCAGCACTGACGGGACCCACAGAGACCCAACAGCATGGGAATGGCAGATCCTATGTTTTCGATGACCGTGGAAGGCACGGAAATGACCTTCCTGGTGGACACTGGAGCGACTTACTCAACGCTGAGACAAAGACCAAGCAGCGCAATACTTTCCAATCACATGGTGAGTGTGGTGGGTTTCTCTGGGGTTCCAATGACTCTGCCAGTAACCGACCCAGCCCTGGCAGAGCTGGGAAAACGGACTTTGAAACACAGATATGTGGTGTCTCCTCACGTGCCTGTGAATCTGATGGGCAGGGACCTGCTCATTAAACTAGGAGCCACTATCATGTGTTCGGCTGATGGACTAACAGTTACACTTGTGGAAGTGGAAGAAGGCATTTTAAGACAATATCAGCCGTGGAAACCTTGAAAGTTACAAAAATTACTTGTATCGTGTTACTGTAATCCGATTACTTTTTTCAGGTAGCACTTTCACTTCGTTCTAGCTGCAAAAGCATGCAGTTTCCTGACAGCACTTTTTGGCACAGAGTACTCAGAGTTAGGCCTTTCTCATATGAAGCAATATAATCAGCATATAAACATTTAAGATAAAAATTTAAACCTCAACAGGAGGTAATCAGTAAGTAATTACTGGTTACTTTTTTCAAGTAACTTGACCAACACTGTTTGTTAGAAGTGTTGGGCAAGTTACTTTGAAAAAGTAATTAATTATAGTTATAGTTACTTCTTCAAAAATGTAACTGAGTTAGTAACCGAGTTATACGATTCTAAAAGTATTTAATTACTTTAAAGTAACTATTGACTTAAATGTAACAGTCTGGGGGTCCAGGGTATAATTGGCCATTTTTAACCACTTTTGATGTTTCCTCTACATTTCACCTTTAAAAACTCTTTACTTTGCCTTGTTTGGTATCATTGTTTTCAGCACAACCTCACATGTCTGAATTTACAGTTATGTTTTCAGTTTGACATACTGTGTTAACACAATTGATCTAAAATCGGACAAAAAACATACAATCCAAGTACAAAAAGTAACAATTTTACTGTAACAACCACAAACATTTATTGAATCATATTTAATAACTTTAAATGCAAATCTAAATTGTCAATTTTAAAATCCTATGCACAAGTTTACATTTTACCCTTTTTTTAAAATAACCATTTCAAACAGTTTACAGAATAATCAGCTGTTCGTCAATAAGATGCCACAAATTATTTGTGTCACTGCAAATATTTCTGTCCACTATAAAGGAAACATCACAGCCTGATACCTGCAGGTCTGACAGCAGCAGGTGTGTCACTCCTGTTTCTACCTGGAGACAGCAGTCGCCTCATTGTTCTGACACACAACACAGAACTATCCACAACACTACACACTAACTACACAAGACAGCACATTAACTACACACTCCAAACACGCTAAATGTCACAAATCTCTCACATCTCAAAACTCTCTCTCTCTCGCCGTCACTCCTAAAACGTCCCCCTCTTACTAAACAACCAAATGTCATGTTGCCATAACATTTTTTGATTGGTCGACATGGTGCATTTTTCCACCAACACGAACGGGCTGTTTTTTGTTTCGTTTTTTTAATTTTTTGCTCATAAGCAGAGAGGTCTCGCTGCGCTGTCCTTAGACAGTAAACGTGAAACTATCGAGGAAAAAATGCCGCATATATATTGTTTATCATGACTGGTTTTATGTGGCCTATCAACACAGTTTATAAACTGGTATATGTCACCTTGTTGCTTTGTCATCTTGGTCATGTGATTGTCTTACCATGACTACTTTATTCTTCCTCAGTCAACCAGCAGCACTGGTGCGATTGTTTTGCCCCCTGAGCTCCAGGTGTTGTGCCAAAAAGTGATTGCCGCTGTAGTGCCCAGATTACTTACAGCTACTTCCGTGCAACTAATATAACCTGCGGTAAGCTGAAGACAGCTTCAACCGTCTGTTTGTTGAAAAATAGTAACGCGACCGCATTTTCTTGTCACTGTGTCAGAGTCGCATCATCACAGACGAACATAATCTGTTGAAAATTAAACACTGCTGTGCAGCCAACAATGCCAACCCTGGCAGTCGATGTTGAACAGAAATGAATGAAGCCTGAACCAACGTGTTGTTGGTGGAAAAATACAAGCAACTTTCTCACTGAGACAGGCAGCCAGCTGAAGCATCACACATACTTAACATGTGCTCAGCCTTCAGACACTGTTTCTTCGTGAATGTGAATTAATTTTAGTTGAGGTTTACTTTGTAGAGACACAACAGACAGCTCGGGTGGACTCGTCTGGAGTCCAGCTCTAAAGCTGACATTGTTCTTGTTGAATGTGCAGTTAGTTTTCATTCAGACATGAAATGACAGATTCCTTTCTTTCTTATTTTAATAGAGGATTTTTAAATTTAACAACACACAAGTATTCATACAGAGGACAATCACAAACCAAAACCCACAACATCTCTAATATTTGATTTTTATTTCAGCGTGAACTAGAATCACCCCACCTGCTAATGATTTATTTTCTAATGTGGACCACAAGAATGAAGCTCTCGAAACTGTTTTGTTTGAATAGAGATGAAAAGAACAGCGAAACGTTACAGCTGCAGTGACCGTCAGCATGCTGCATGTGTTTCAGCCACTTCCTGTAGGCAGGGTTGGGGCTCATTGGCTGCTACATACACTGGATGATATGGCAATGACCCTGTTGCCACTAGGTGGCACTGTGACTGTAACTGAATACTGGCAGGTAGCTGTGCTCAGGCTGGGACTCGCATGCAATGGGGTCAACTGAACAATTTATTATACACAGCAACTTAAAATTTCATATCTAAATATCAAAATTTGCCACAGTTCCCATGACACACCTCCATCACAGCATGAAGAGGTCGGCACATCAGACTCTTCAAAGTCTTCTGAAAACTGATCTGTTACAACTCAAGCAGGAGTTTGTTAAAATGTATCTTGATGGACAGAAATATGCATGAAACAACAAGAAACATTTAAATTTTAATTGACTTCCTGTTAAATAAAAGTTCAATTAAGAAAACTTTATTAGCAAAGATGCCAAAATGGAATTCAAAATGGCTGATTTCCTGTTGGGTTTGGATGCGGGAGGCTTTTTTACATGTATGTTCTGAAATTAATGTATTTATTAAATAAACTGTGTTTTATATATTGAGCTCCCAGTTTATTTATTCTTAGCTTTGTGTGAGGAACCTGATGACACCAACACCTGGACCTAATAACACACAGCGATACAAGCTTTTCTTTTAAAAGACTCAACGCCAGTTAGCACTGATCAATAAACTCTGAGAGAGAAACTGTGTGATGTTATCTGAAGACAGCAACATGAGCTCCCAAATCCCCTTAGCTTTCACTTTAACATCTTCAAGTTTTAAGTAAATCATCCTGCAATGCAAGTGTTCCAATATTAAAATACAAGTTTTTTCCTCTGGGAATTTTAAGATCCTGAGCTGTCACTGAGCAGTGAGTCTCACAGAAATCTTTGCATGTGAAGATGCTTCAGAGCTGATGTTTCTGATGCATGACCTGTTGGAAAACAGAGAACAGCTCTGGCTGAGTCATCAGGGCGCGACAGAGATTCGTGTTGTCTCGGTTTTATTGTCTGGAGCAGAGCGGAGCTGTTTTGGGAGACCCTGCCCAGTTGGGTCGGTGTCAGGGGATCATCAGGTAACTCGTTGCCTGTAAATCTCAGAGTTTGGAGCTCACACCAGTTTACAGACAAAGACCGAGAGATAAGAGGGGAGATAAATACTCCAGCGCTACTGAAACCATGGAGGAAACGAGGACACGCCAACAATACAGGATGTTATTACAGCAGAGGCTCGGAGAGAAACTTCGGCATCAGATACCATCTGTAATTTCTAGAAATACAAAGAAAACAGAAAAGCTCCAAAATTAATGAGACCACAACACCAGAAGTCACCCTATTGGTCTAAAACATAAGGTTGCTAAAGGATGGTTCACAAAGTGCAAAAACCTGACGGAGCATTTGATGTTCAAGCACGTCGTCTGTGGTTACACTATGTTTGTGTTGGTCTGATTGGTGGGAAATATTTTTGCCTTGTGTAACATGAGTGTAACTTGATCAGGGTTGGGGGGTGCCGCCCCAGGTGTATCCATCATCGGGAACCTTCTTGAGGGGCATGGGGGATCTGAGTAAAGCCAAATCACATGAATCTGGGTGCAGCAAGAAGCCAGAGAAAACACTGCTGGCCTCATTGCTGACATACATGCCATTGGTTACCATATCCTTCACCTGAATCCACACCCAATCTCCCCTCAGCAGGTGAAGGACAACTGACTGTGAGGTGGTCGCTAACTGGCTGGCCTCTGTGGTTTTAATAACTGGCATGAAGTTACGAAAGAGGCCGATTTTCAGGACTTTGTCAAAGACGGTGACGTGATAGCTGAAGACATAGGTGCCATTGATGGGGGCGATGTAGATGCCGGTGCTGGGGTTGTAATTCTGCTGGATATTGTAGAAAACATAGGAGAAAACCACGGGGGTGTTAGGTGAGGGAAAGCTGGTTGTCAGGCCTGCAGCAAAGGCCGACTGGATGGCGGGCATGCAGGGACCTGGAGGACCCATCATCCCTATGTGCCCCATGCCTCCCTTTATCCCCTGGGGCCCTCTTTGGCCCTCGGTGCCCATTGGTCCCACATCACCTTTGACTCCTGTATCTCCTTTTTCGCCTTTATGTCCATTGGCTCCATCTATACATCTGCACTCCCCCTGTGGCCCCAGCTCTCCTTTCTCACCCACAGAGCCAGGAACACCAGGGGGCCCAAACTCTCCCATCTCACCCATGGCACCTTTGGGACCCGGCATCCCCGGGGTGCCAGGTAGACCTCTGGATCCTGCAGGGCCTATCAAACCAGTTGGTCCCTGAGTTCCAGGGATGGACTTGCAATTATCAGGACAGACACCATCATCTCCTCTAGGACCCGGATCCCCCTGAAGACCCACAAAACCTTGCTCCCCCTTTTCACCTGCAGACCAACAAAAACAGGATAAGGAGGTGTTCTGAGGCTCGATGGGTGAAGCACCCGATGACTGCCTCATCACTCACCTTTGAAGCCCTGCAGTCCTCTGAGTCCTGCAGGCCCCAGAGGTCCCCAGTCGCCCTTATCCCCATCATCGCCTTTTTGTCCTAAAGTTTGAACACAAAACAGATAAAGTCAGGTGACTCACACCATGGTAAACATTTAGTTATAGCAAAACAGAAAATCACGAGTCCAAGCAGTTTAGGGCACTAAGAAGATAACACACATTTCTTTTTACTACAGCGGCACCTAGTGGTTAAATGAAGTATTTTTCAGACAAGTTCATAAAGAGAAGACAGTCAATGATGCAGAAACAGGAGCAGCTTCAAACCTTTTATAGTTTCCACTGCTCGTAACAGGAACTGATCATCTATCATCCAATAATTTAACTTCAGCCTCTCACAGCAGCTTTCGGGGCGACTAACACAGTCGGCATGTAGGAATATTTAAGAGCTAAACCAGGTATTTGTGTTTCTTTTGGCTCTCATGGTAAATGCTATAAAAACAAAGAGATTCAAATTTGAAGTGTTGTTTTTGATTGGCTGTAGGCATTTTGGGAAAAACTGTTCAAATAGATTAAAATAAAGTAAATAATAATAATAATAATGGCTGTTCACGCGATACAACGTAATAGATAAACAATTAAATGACAGAAGAGTTCCTGATTTTTCATGATCTACTAGAGAAATTATTATTTATATAATAACAGGACAGTGTGGAGAATGAGCTATCAGAACTCTTTCTGGAACATTTATTTATTATAATGTAAGCCCAAACAGTCGTGCTAACAGTCATTTACTATGGCCACGTCTTTGTCCTGTAGAAAAACGGACACGTATAGTTTAAATTAAACTTATTGTTCCTATATTAAGAAAATTAACATAAATTACAAATTTAATGTGGAGTTAAACTTCTCTAAACTGAGACAAAGGAAAGCTTCTCTTCTCGGGAGCACTGAAACATAATTTAACATAACATAATTTCGTGAGGGATTAATAAAGTATTCTGATTCTGAAATTCAAATCGTCCTGTTTGTGGCTCACAGTGTAAAGTAGTTTGACATTCCTTCACATAAAATGTTTTTTTAAATCCCATTTAGTTTTCCAATCATAGGAATGAGATGCTTGGCCAGGTACAAAGATTGCTTTGGTGAAAAGAATCAGTGTCCGATCAGTGAGCCACATCTTGCAAAATTAGTTTTTTTCTACCTGACAGAGACTCTTAAAGAAGGAAAAACAGAAATATTGGGAATACTGAGCCTGCTTCACAGCATTCCCCATCAGTAACCTTTGGCTCCTTGGCTGCCCACGAAACCTGGAGGACCTCTGAACCCAGACATGCCTCTTTCCCCAGCACTACCAGGAATACCTGACGGGGAGAGCAACAGACTGATTAACCGACAAAGCAACAATAGCTGCAGTTCATTCACTGTCCAACAGAGGCAGAGGTAAATCATGTTAATTTAAGCATGTGTGCAGACTGATACACAATCTGTAAGCTTCTCATATTCGTCATGTTTTTCTTTATTTATTTTCGGTCTGATGGAAATAAAATAATGTAAAAATGTTCTGTGTGGTCTGTAATGTCATGATATAGATCCAGGTTACCTGGCAGCCCTTCGTCTCCGCGGTTTCCTTTGGGCCCTCTGGTGTTCTGGCACCGAGTGCAGACACAAAACCAGGGGATCTGCTGCTCGGGGACGCTGGACTGAAGGAGCATCTGGCAATAAGCATCCCGGTCACTGACAGCTGCTGGGTCAAAGGTGAGGACAGGGGACTGGGTCCCATTTGTTAACATGACAACAGGAAGGAACATCGCCGCCAGCAGGGCATGAAGAAGAAAGGTCACCATGGTCTGCAGAGAAAAAGGAGATGCTTGAACTTCCTCCTGCTGCTGATGCCAGTTTGTGCAGGGCTCTGAAGCTGTGTTTGAGAGTTTCCTGGAAGGACGTGAACATTTCATCGGGGAGTTAAAGGACGGTCAGCCAGCGACGGAGGTCAGGAGCTTCCATGAACTCTGGTTAACTCACCGATGAGGGCTTGTACATTTGCCACGAAAATAAAGAATACATCTTCATTTTTATTTGAAAAAACAGTGCCCTGGAGTCCTCGGGTCACTTTTAAAATAAGATTTTATCTTCTGGAAACTTTCTGTCTTTTCAAATCTGTTCAAAGAGGGTTTTACTCAGTGCGATCTGCCTAAAATCTGTCCGTGTTATCAAATTCTATTATGTCTATATTTAAGTATAGTAAACTGTTTTTGTGTTAAATATTATTTAGTTAAGTCCGGTTTTGTGTCATTAATTCATTTTAATTTGAAATGTTACAAACATGCTTTGGTGTCCTGTGTTTGTCGTCTAGTGTTTGAAAATGCATTTTATACAAATTAGTAAAAATAGTCACTCGTTTTGTCCTGGTTTAAAGGTTTTAAAGAAACTCACCTTGTCGTGTTTCTCGCCTTCTGCCTTTTCTCTGAGTTCACCTCTCACAGCAGCTAATAAAACACCTGGACCACGCCCACCCGGTGCCCCACCCACATGTTTGTGTGTGTGTGTGTGCTAGTCTGCATTTCATGTTTTTGACTGTACTGAAAATGTGGCCTCATTGCAGCCTCACAGGTGTCAGATGACAGGGCAGACACACACACACACACACACACACACACACACACACACACACACACTTACAGTTTGCAGCTGTTTGTGATCAGCAGAATGATGTCAGACCCTCATCTCCTCCTCCTCCTCTTCCTCCTCATCTCAGTGGTGCACGACGGTCTCTGCAGCGTGTGCGGTTACAAGTACAGTTTTTACAGGTTGTTACTGAAACATCAAACCAACAACACGAAGGAGAAATATCATTTAAATAAAACACAATATGAGAACAAAAAGTCAGTTAAAGCCAAAAAAGAAAGCTGCTCAGGTGAGTGGAGGAGGCCCTGATAGGCCCAGGTGTAACTATAATCCTTCTCTGATGTACGATCCAGCAGGCTGACTGAAGGTCGTCATCGGATCCCGCACAAACAAATGCTCCATAGGTGGGACCTCATTAAAGCTGCACCCTGGGAATCAGGATGTGGGTCAACTATACAGCAGAGCGGGTGATACACCCACGATGTGATGGCTCAGTTTCAGGACTAGACTCCCCAAAACTCCCAGCTTCACATGCAAGGACAAAGAAAAAAAGGCTACATGGGTGGAAATCGATCCCTCCCGATGGCAAAGGCCTGTATCTGTGCTTCATGCTGTTTTACTGGCACAGGCCTTATAACATAACACTGTCAATCATTATAATATGACCTCAGAAAAAGGAGAAGTTTTAGGGCCTGAGTGAACTTCCTCTTTTATGGGCAATAAGACGTTTTATACGAAGGAGATAACAACATACAAGATCTATACGTTACAAACCTCCTTGATGCCATGAAAGGCACATTATACAATACAGAAACATGACTGTTAGAAGTTTTAGTTTTCAGGTATCAGAGGTATAATCAGCTAGAGCAACTTTAGGAACTGCTGCCATGAAGTGTGGAGCAATGAGTGAAACCCTGAAGGAGGCAGGTAGCCCAAGAAGCAGAGAAAGAAGAACTGAAGACGGCGCCGTCCACAGAGAAGTTCCTCCCCCACCAAACACTAGACGGCAGATAAACGTGCAGACCATCGTGTTCAGTCCATGACCAGTTCAGGAGATCTGTACGACATCCAAACTGCATCCAAATTTTAGATGTCCAACCGTGACACAACATGAAGTTCAACATCTTGGACAGCTTTGACTGGATCGTCATGTGGACGTCTGTGACAGGTGCAGGAAATTTACATGATTAATACATTTTTTTATTTTAAAAATCCACGTTGTTGTTGTAAATACAGATTATTTATAAACAAACTTGATTTATCACGTGTTAGCCTGTAGATTTATTCACTACATGTGATTTTTTTTTGTTATTATCTTACATTTTCCTGTTTTTCTTTAACTGGTTTACTTATTTCAATGAATCAACGTATTTGTTTTTTAATTAGGTTAAAACTGTCATTTATTAAAGTGTGTTATTAAACTGCCCCCAACTGCCTCCCTCTTCCCACTCCATCAAACGCCCCAGGCATGCAGGACCTTGGAGTGCAGGTATGTCACTGAGGTGCAGGAGAGGCCACCTGTTTTAAATGCACTTTAGAACAGCACGCAGCAAGACCACATATGAACAGGCAGAGAGAGGTGTGGGGTCTTCATAACTGCGTTCTCTGTTCGCCATCGGGGGCAGGGGGCTGGGAGGAGTAGTTGGCCATCTGGTCTGGATCCGGGATGCTGGCTTCTTTGCTGCTGCAGGACCGGGGGTGGTCTGCTTGTCTCCACCACAGTGAAAAGGGCAACATCTCCTGGGTTTGGGGTCAGATTGCCCCTTTGAGGGTGATGGTGCCTGGACCATGGCTATAGAGTATGTAGGGGGGGTGTGAGTGTGTGTACAGTGTTCATTTCTGTTTCTCTCCACGTTGAGTGAGTGCTGAGTGTTTGTATATGTGTGCATGAGGGTGGGAATGTGCGTTTGTGTCTGTGTGTGCCTGTTTGTCTGTGTTTATATGTTATGTTTTTGTCTTAGACTCCACCTCTCTGTGAACATCTCAGGCCCTCCAAAGTATGGAAGCCTATCTCCCCCCATCACACTCCCTGCCAGTGGCTGATGTCCTCAGGTGTCGGTGCGTTGGTGGTTTTTGGTGTCCGGTGCTGGGCCCTCAGGTATGTAACAGCTCATTCCTGGTGGCTGCTTGGAGGGGCCTGGCGCCTGTGACTCGGTCGGCCCCTTCAGGGCCTGGGACTCAGTCCTCTCTGGCACAGCTGGCTGCTGGCAGAGCCTGCGGGCATTTCACCCAGCAGCCCCCCGTGGCTTCTGCGCTGTGGCTGCTGGGTGACCCCTCATCTGGAACTGTTCACAGCTCTTTCAAGGAGGGTGGCTTTGCTGGCACTCTGGTGGTCCTCCGTGGGCTCCCGCACTCTGGACGGCCTCTAGATGTCTGGGGCCTGGATCTCTTCCATGCCTGCTTCATGTCCCTGGGGACAGGGCTATGACTCCCCACACCTACCGATCTACTATTAGACATTTACATGGAGAAACCTTATGGATACAAGCGCTCTCACACACACAGGTGGACAAAAAGGTATTCACAGACACACACTCTCTTGGCTGGCTGCTGCCTCCAAACATATCATGCATTGTAAGTCTTGTGTGCTGCTCAGTACAATTCAGTATTTATTATTTGCTGTTACCTGTGCTTATGCTAGTTGTTGTTTCCCTACTCTGCTTTTTGCTTGTGTTTTTTTCTCAGCAGGTGGTGAATAAGATTTTCAGTGTCTTTTCTCTTTATCCCTCTTCTCCTCTGGTTTATTCTTTCTGATTGTAATAATAAAATAAAAATAAATAATAAAGAGTGAATCAACTATGACAATCAAGTATAGGAAAAGGTCCACTTGGGAAAGTAAATCTGTTGGGCATTTTTCTTGGCCTTCAGACAACAGTTTTGATTGCTACAGTGCTGGACAGGGAAGGCATACTAAAAAGAAAAAAATGTTAAACGCACCAGCGTCAAACAGGAAGTGGAAAAAGTTTGGATCCAAAAAAGAAAATCTTTAAAATGAATCAGAATATTACATTTTAATAGCCTTAACCTCAGAAAACCTTAACCTCCACTCTTTCTTACATCTTCTTCCACCTATCAGTGAAAAGCTGAACTTTCAGTAAAGTTACTGCATTAATGCTCGCTGCAGCATCAGCTGACGCACCATGACCACAGCCAGAAGAAAGGAAGCGATGATGGTGTGGCCTGAAAGCATTGTGCAGCAAGCTGCTGTCACACTGAATTACTCAGTGACCAGCAGAAACCACGGTCTCCATGGCTACAAGAACTTTGAAGAGTCACTCTGATTCCACATGAATAAAACATCTGATATATGAACACAAACACTGCCTGCTGCGTCAGCTTTAGGTTTTTCTGGCTAACACTTCTCTGACACTAACGTGAAACATGTTACAGGAAGCTAACGTGGCGCTGGGATCAGTGCCGTCTTGTTCGAGAGCTGACTTTTAGTTATTTCCACAAAAGATGAATTTAAGACTTTGAACAAAGTGAGAGAACTTTTCTGTTGAAGTAAACCTGCAGAGGCTGCTGATGCTGTAAGAGTTACATCATCACTGTAACCGGTAGATTAAAGGTCACCTGTGCATGTAAACATTTCTGTCCCTGAGGTGTCTCCTCATTAGCCACAGTTTCCTCCAACTCCCTCTGATGCAACTATCTGTGAGTGCTTTTGACCAGAGAGACCAATCAGCCGGAGCGGACCTCAGCTCTGGTCTCAGAGGGCTGAGGACGGTAATGACCCCCCTCAGAGGACCCATCCATGAAGACACACCCTGCAAACTTCATACAGACTTTCTGAAACACTGCTCCAGCTTTTTCCTGATGTTGTGGAATGTGTTGTCCATATTTATGTGGACACCAACTCTGAACATCCACCAGCTCACTGCTGATCCATTTAGTGTTGCACTTTAGCCACATGCTAAGAAACAGAAAATAATATACACATTGAGGCATGAACTCAATTTGTTTGTGTGTGTGTATGCGACAGTGGGAAGGAAAAACTCCCTTTTAACAGGAAGAAACCTCCTGCAGAACCAGGCTCAGGGAGGGGCGGGGCCATCTGCTGTAATTGGTTGGGATGAGAGAAGGAAAACAGGATAAAGACATGCTGTGGAAGAGAGACAGAGAATAATAACAAGTGTGATTCAATGCAGAGAGGTCTGTTAACACATAGTGAGTGAAGCAGAAACACCCAGTGCATCATGGGAATCCCCGGCAGCCTACG